CACGTTGAATCGTAGTCGCTCTGTTCTCAATAAAGGTTGCTGTTGCATACCCGCTTGTCGCGTCCCCTTCCCTTCGCTCCAAGATGCAAAAAGGTCCAATTAGGTCTGAGCACTCATGCATTTTAAATAATTATTTAAATGATTTTATTACTCTCTCAGTATAAATGCCAAAGCTTTTACTAAGCTTTTGGTCACTGATCAAAAGTTCAAACAAAAGCAAATATAAAATATACATATTTTAGGGTAATCTTAGGTTTAAGTCTTTGTGACTACTGTACAAATGATCATTCGGACTTGGAACTACACATCTTGGAATCTGGACTGCAAAATGAAGTGAGTGGTGTTTCAGAATTACCCAAATACAATGAAAACTGACATGAAATTAAACAATGGAAAATGCCTTTATAAAAAATGTAGGTTAAAGCATACAATCTATTGCTTCTAATACTTGACAACTGCAAGAATCGATTCTCTCATGGTTTCTGGTAGAAACCAATATGTTATTAAAGTCATTTAAACCATGGCATCATTAGTGCCCCCTGATCCCAACTTTGATTTTTCTCTCATGACTTTCCACCTTTGGCAAGGAAATAGCAAACAAATTATAGCAATTTACTAATCAGGGGAGTTTCAAAAAATAGTACATTCATGAGAATATCTCTACCTGTTTGACATCAAAAACCAAACTGAGGCCTCTTCCAGAAAGGCTAACTCTTCTTCTTGTAGGAAGGTTAATATGATTAAAAGTAAAGCAGTTCCCATATTCAGTAAAGACATGTGCAAAGTCCTTCCATGAAGAAAAAAACAAACAAATGAAAAATGGAGTTAGTATTTTCTCACAGACATTTTAGGTGTCAAATTTTGCTGTTATCTGTGGCATTTTAGTATCAGTGAATGAAGAAGTTTGTACTACACAGAGATTTGCAAGTATCTTTCTAATTAAATAATCCTAAAAATTTAATTTGTACTACACGAGATTTGAAAGTATCCTTCTAATTTTAAAAAAAACCCTAAAGATTGAATTTCAGCTCTGGCTAAAGTTCACTGTTGAAAGTAGGCAAGCAGTGCAGATCTCATCATGCTTAAGCTTCCCATCAGTCCCATCTGTGTGAAATCAATGGATTTTAATAAGGGAATTTTCAGACACAATGCTTTTATTTAGCATAAATAAAACCAGATATTAATGAAATACAATATGTTTGTGGGAATTGTTTGTTATGAGCTTTTAAATTTCAGTAAATTTCAGTTTTTACCTTTTGACCTTTTTTGATGAATAAGTGGAATTATTTTTTGACTTAGAATTACAGCTTCACTCTGCGAATTAAAAAAACTATGGAGTGATTCACTAATGTATCCTCATGTATTGGTGAAACATTGAGAATTTTTTCCCCAACCTTAAGATATATTGAGAGCCAGGTTGGTCTAGTGGTTAAGGCACTAGGCTAGGAAATAAGAGACTTTGAGTTTAAGTTCCACATTTGCCATGTAAGTCTTAGGGGTGACTTTGGACCAGTCATTCTCTTTCAGACCAACGCACCTCACACAGTTGTTGTGAAATAAGAGGAGAATATGTTCACTGCCTTGAGTTATTTATAAAAAATAATAAAAGCAGGCTAAAATTAAAAAAAATGTTAGCATGTAATATCACATTGCATTTGCTTGGTGCATAACTAACTTTGCATATATAGCCCTTTGCTAAAACTCAAAATATGCATGCTAACAGCCAAACATGCATTCTCTTACCCTGGTAGAAAAACTGTCTTTCAGTTTTCAGACTATATTTTTTCTGACAATATTGCCTTTCAGATTGTTAGATAACTACATTTATTTCAGCATTTAGATAATACATGTTTTATAAAAACAAAAATGTTACCTTTGGATGGCATTTTTTCCCAAAAAATTCACAGCTCAGCAAGGTACTACTGTTGAGATAGAAACCATTATCTCTTGTAAATTCTTTGATGCTGAAATTTTGATTCCCTTGAAAAAAATCTTGCAGTTCTTGACTAAACTTATCATCAGTGCTGAACATACGAAGAACTCCTGACACTATGCTCCATAAGAAGAAAACGATGCTCAGATTAGCTACAGCTTGAGTTTGGAACCTATAAGCATAAATCAGAAATGCAAATATAAGTTCTGAATGCTGTAGCCCAAGACTGTCTATATTTATTTCCAAAGCAAAGATGAATTACACAGAAGTTATTCAATTTTACATTGGGTATAATAATTAAAATATATTTAAATAATTTTTATATTTAATAATTAAATATTACAACATTTAACTCATATAAATGTATACAATAAAATGCTAGAATTGTTAGCCTTGATGGTTGTCCAGTTGTGATCTTCAGAGCTTAAAATCGTGTAGGACACAAGGAAGAAAATAGTGCCTTACCTGTTCAGATTACAAAATGTTACAGCAGGAAATTCAATCCTCTCCACATATTGAACTACCACTGAGGTTGTGGTGGGCCAGCTGAAATAATAGATGAAACGACAATAAACCTGCCAGGCAACTAGGATAATGGAGCCCAAGACTACTACCATCCATAAGATCTTGCGTGTCTTGCTCTTGGTATGAATAAGATTGTGCACCCCATGGAAGGACGTTGAAGTTGCAAACTCATCGTCATATTTCTTCCTTTCTTCCAAAGATGGTAGAGCCTTTCTTGTGAAATAGAGCCTGGCTTTTTCCAGAATTCCTTAACATTTAACAAATAATGAAAAAGTCCGTTCAGAATGAGTTCAGTTGAATAAAGGATACAATAAACACCACCTTAATGAAAACATAGTGTGGTCAATTTTCAAATATTTTATGTATTTATTTTTGGTGTCTACATATTTGGTGTGTGTTTCCAAACAAATATTAAGGAAAAGGGAAGCAGAGATTAGAGAGAAAGAATCCATGCAAATGTTTTGCCAAAAAACCAAGAAAAATTATCTGATGATAGTTTATACTAGTTTGTTAAAATATCAATGATAAAGGATTATATTTTAATGCAGATATATAAGTATTCAGAGATATTTTCCTATGAATATAGCTGTTTTTCTATTATTTCACATTTCTTCTTAATCTCCTCTATAAGTTGCAACCCAAGCCTGTGCCTGATGAATCAGATTTAAGTAACATGGTATTTTCCTAAGTATATGAAAAATTGCAACTGTAGTTTACCTGCATATTGTATTCAAAAGAATTAACTATTCAATATATTCTCAACAAAAAAGTGCTTACAATTTTCATTATGTCCATAAAAATGAATAGTGCTAAACACCCTAATATAACCAGCCAACAAAATGTAATAATAATTACAGCGTACCTTTGCCATGAAAGTTCGTCAACTTTCTAAGCTTCTCCATTAGATAAATATTAGAAGATTCATCTCTAAAACATGGGGAGTTAATTGCTTTTATAACATCAGGAAATGGGTGGGGATTCTATTAAATACACAACAACGTGCAATTTGCCTGTCTTTGTTGCTACACACACACACTCTCTCTCTCTCTCTCACACACACACACACACAC